AACAGTTTTTATCATCGACACAAATGGGCACGATCGTTTGTGAGGTATCATATTATTGAGATTGTTGAGGAGATAGATATCTGTTCTGCTGAATTTGTCGTATTAGAAGACAGTGAACGATTGAATTGATAACGAAAGTAATTGGGATGATCTAGAATGCGGCTTCATACTTACGGCATTTTCATACAACTTTCGATTTCACATTCATTGAATATTGAGAGAATTCATTGAAACATCTCCAAATTGATCAAATTGAGCTAAACAAATGGATGAAGAGCATTTGAATTCAATGCGATCACTGAAATTTCAGGTATTTTTCGCAAACATTTCACTGTACAATGTTCTGCTTTTCAACATTAACTGTGCTTGCAATATTTCTATTGAACATGACCTTGTTGAGCTCAATTCATGCGATTGGCAGCAGTCAAATTCCATTCGAAATCAGTCATGTGAGTTGTTTGTATTTGTTAATATATTTCAGATTGGTGATCGCATCTGAGGTCTTAACTGATGCCTGAAATTAATATCAATATGACCAAAAAGTGATTTTAATATCAAACTCATGATAGTAAATATCTCATATATCATATCATATTAAATATCATAAAATGATTAATATCCAATATCTCATGAAACTGAATTCCGACGAGACATATTTTGAAGTTTTGCTCTGCAAAGTGCACTTATGAGATTATTGAGGAGATCAGTAGATTCAACACATGACATATACCAACTAATAGTAAGACCCGAATCACTGACTATATTTCAGGTTTGTGTTGCGGTGAATATTCGGAATCGTCAAATTACGGCAAAAGTTGATTCAAAGAGTCGAGAGGAGAGCAGCAATTCAACGATGAAGTACGTCTGTAAACCGTTCTGGGAAGATGGCGGTCTTGGACTGGGCTTGCATCGACAAGAGGCTGGGCCTTGGCAAACCAGGATCAAATTATCGGGCCGAAATATTTTGGTGCCTCTTCTTATCACTGATCATCGTTTATGGATGGATTTATGTGGCGTTGTTCTTGAGTTGTCGTTGTGATTTTTAAAACTTCAATTGCGCACATACATTGAGTCCCTGAGGTCAATCAAGTTACAGGCAATATCCACACAGGTTCGTATGAACTATACAGATAGACAGAATCCTCATCATCAGTTGCTATACGATTATGCAGTACTGCGACGATACACTCCCGGCAGTGAGGAAGAACTCTTAGCGAAATATGTTTGCGTGAAAGGAGCGGATTCCGGGTGGTTTGTTTTATTTGAATATCAATAAA